AGGCAGCAGGGCAAACCTTGTGCCTGGGTTTCTCACGCACTCATAAACAGCGTCGTTTTTAGCAAGAGAAGTTGTTTAGGACTCGCTTCCTCCCTCCGTGGGGAGGTGGGAAAGGTCTCCGGTTATAATCCACCCCTACCATTACGGCAAACCCTACTGCTATCCTCCTAGTTATTTCAGATGGGTTTTGTTAGGGGCCTGTCCTAGAAAGAAAGAACCAGAACCCAGGGTTTCCCTGGTGTGGAGCAGGGGATTTCTTTCCTCCCTTGGCTCAGGTGTGGGCAGGGTGGAGTTTGCTACAGCTGCTTCCTTATATAAAGGGCAGGTTGAGGCACAAGCTGCCCCTGGGGAGGGGATGTGGGAGATGCTGGAGCAGCTGGAGCGGAGCCTTCCTTGTCCTGAGAGGGGTAAGAAAAGCTGCCCCTGCAGTTTACTTTGTTCTTGTGCCTTGAGCAATGCAGTTTAATGTTATGAAGGGCTCTGCTCTTTGAGGTTTGGGTTTAAAAATTCAGCTGGAAATCTGCTGGGGGATGAGCCCCGGGCCCCAGCGTGGCTTCTTCATGTCCCTTGGCTGCTGGTGGGTTTATGTCGGAGAATTGGGCTAGCCCCGGTGCTGAGGTGTGTGGGGCAAAGTCGTGCTGGGTATGTCCACCCCAGTGCTTGTTACCGGCCCCTTCCTGGGCTAGGGGTGCAGCTGGGGCTACCCAGGACAGCAGAGCTTCCCTCTTGGAGCATGGCCCTGGAGTGCCCAGGCCATCCTGGGGTGAACACACCTGAGCTCTCCGAGTGCCGACAGGATCATGAATATGAAAACTGAGAGCTAACATTAGACTTAAATATTATCTGGTACAATCTGAGATGTAACAGTAGATGTGAGAAGCAGACTACATAGGAGCAATTAATTATTCCTCTAGCAAGCTTGGAGATGCACAGTTAATCACAGTTATTGCCAAGTGGTGTTTTCTTAAGGTGAAATGCCCTGTTGGGAGGAGATGGATTTTAAATACGTTGGTACCTGTCTGAGCCTCTGCTGTCAGCTGTTGGTGACTGAGCCGGGGTTTGGGTGCTGTGATGTTGAGTTGGTGTTGGTGGAGTTTGAGTTTGTGCAGCGACTGCTTGAAGAGGCTCAGCCCCGAGGGACACCAGGCACCGGCAGCTCTCGGAGGGTGAGCGTGGAACTGGCTGGAGCCATCTTCAAGTGAAGGTGTCGCTCCGTGGGGAGGCCTCCGTTTGGCAGAGAGCTTAAAGCGGGTGCTTGGATGCCTTCACACAGGCAAGGGCTTTGCTGAATCGGGCAGTGATGGGAAGCTTATTTGGCAAAGAAATGAGAAGGGCTGATGGATTATGCGGTATTATAGACTTGATATTGACTGGGAAATGGTTGCATTTAAAATGTTTGTTCAGAACAGCGAAGGAAACTGTTCTGCTTTCCCTCTGGTGCTGTACCGGGGCAAACACTGCCCTGCTCCTGGTGTGAGTGTTGTTACCTTAAGCACGATGAGAATTGTGGAGATCAGACTGAGTAAGGTGTCGTGCTTCTGACATGAAGCAATAAACAGGCTGAGACAGAATCATTCCTCTCATGTTTATGATTTATTTGGCTATATCTGCATTAGCACAACTTCTTAAAACCAGAGAGAAAACCTATTGTCTATGGCTCTCGCAGGGTCGAAGGGTTGCGGTCCTCGCTGCGTGGATGCTCTGGGGAAGGGGACCGCGTCTCGCAGGCACTTCTCAATGGGAGGCACTGAACGCCTTTCTACGAGCGTCACGGTCTGGAAAAGTACAGAGATGAGGCCCAACCTATAACGAAAGGAGCAGATCGACGATTGGGTACAGCGAGCAGCCAGCTAAAGAAAATAGGTTGGAGCACAAACAGAGAAAGGAGTGCAGATTAGTGCAAGGGTTTTTGACTGTCTGGGAGATGTTGCTCCAGCTGAAGTTAAACATTTAACCTGTTTAAAGTGAGGACTAGTTTTCTGATTGACTTCTGGAGGTTCTTATTCTGCTCTAGTAACGAGATCCTGTAGTCTTACTGTGGTGTGTTGGTTGTCTGATGTTTTCAAATTCTGGCATGCTTTAAGGTGGACCCTGAAATAAATACGACTTGTCTTGTACAACACAGGACTTGTGTGCTTCGCTGAGGGGGCCAGGGTGGGCCCAAAGCTCCCAGGGAAGCCCCTGTCGTGGTGAGCGACTCTTGCGTGACCTGCCCAACAAACACAGAAGCGGCTTCTTCCCAGGAATCACCTTCGAGGTGACGAGGGAGTGAACAAATGTCCCTGACAAATAAACAAAGGGAAAGTCATCTGGGGGAGAAGGGTCCCAGGGCCCTTTGGGGGGGAGCGGTGGGCTTTGCACACAGCTGCATGCAGCAAACCTACACAGCAGATGTGGAGTTACTGAGATGTCCGAGTGTCTTCGTGTACGGTGTGGGCTTACCATGGGGGGCCGCGGGCTTTTCCTGCCCCAACACAATTCCTTGTGCCATCCATCTGCCTTGCGTGGATGTGCAGAGCTGCCTCCCGCTTCCCCCACCCTGCTCAGGCTGGCTGGATGTCAGGTTTTGCATATGTAAAAATACACAGCAGTCTCTGCCCTGAAAAACTTGCTAGTGATCTCATTAATCAAGACAAACAAAGCATATTTAGCTATTCCCCCTCTCTGGAGGAAGGCGTTCAGGTACTTAAATATGCATTGGAGTGCCTAACTTCAGACAGTTGTTTCTGGGTGTTTTTGCTTTCTCACAAGCAGCAGCAGTGACAATACCCCTCTCCGGGAGGGGAAGGTGGGGGAGGCAGAACCAAGGGCTGCTGGAGTAGGTGGGCAGCCCCTGGGAGCTGGCAGGGACAATCTCCAGCTGGGCCGACTCCAGCCTCCCACTTAAGATGCAGGAGTTTTTCCCTCAGAGCTGGGACTGTGAGAAAAATCCAGTGCCTGCAGGTAAGGCAGTTTATTCATTCCAGGCTTGGTACAAAGCTCCCAGGTGAGAAATGTCTCACTGAGCCACAACTGGCAGTAATTAAAATTAGCAAAGCCTTGACAAAGTTGCGAGGGATGCCAAATTCTGCCCTCAGCATGAGTAAGTGGGAAGCACCAGGTGTAGGACATGGGACAAGTGCTATTTTAAAAAATGAGAAACCCTCTCGTAATGAGGGCCAGTAATTAGAGTCAAGATAAGGATGTCCTTGGGTCAAAGGTCTTATGACAGAGACTGGTGTTGAAGTCAATGCCAGTGATGAATCCTCATGTCTGATTCTTCTAATTCATATTTTAAATGATGAACCCAAAGGTACCTCCTCTAGAGACAGCTGATGATCTTTACCATGACTGTGATGTGGTTATGGGCTGTTGTGCCAGGATTTTGTCCGAGTCATGGTTGTGGGGCATTGGCTGTAGCAGGACAGGAATACAGTTTGTAGGCACAAACTTGGTGGTTTTCCTTGCAGGACGATGGAGCTGCAATGGTTTTCAGCTGCTGATTAGAAGCAATGTTTTGCTGTTGTTCATTGCATTTGTTGTTGACAAATTAAAATCTGCAGGACACTTGCAGCTGGGATGTTGTAATGTCAGTGCTTGCTTTAAAGACTTAGAGGGGCGATTAAAAAAAAAAATCCCTTGTCACTCCTAAAACTTACATATGTGTTTGGGGGTTATTTTCCTTTGGGTTTCTCAGTTACGATAATGTTTTAAATCTGTGGACTGTGAACGATCATTTGTCAAGCACTAGTATAACCACATGCGTGTTGCTAGCAGAAGCAGGAA